TATTATTTATACCCTGCCCATCTGGCTGGGTTTCCCCAGCCATTCTGGGTGGCTTCCAACAAAATGTTAAAAATACAATAAAACATGAGACATAAAAAAACTTCCCTAAACTATGATCTCTCCATAGGTTTCTAATTAGCAAAACAAGAGTTCTTAATCACAGATATGCTGGGTCATATTTTCCCACCTCCCCAGTTTAGGAATTTACAAAACTAAGTTCCCATCACGTATATACAGTGGTACCTTGGGTTACAGACGCTTCAGGTTACAGACATTTCAGGTTACAGTCTCTGCTAACCCAGAAATAGTATCTCGGGTTAAGAACTTTGCTTCAGGATGAGAGCAGGGTGGCAGTGGGAGGCCCCATTAGCTAAAGTGGTACCTCAGGTTAAGAACAGTTTCAGGTTAAGAACGGACCTCCAGAACGAATTAAGTTCTTAACCTGAGGTACCACTGTATTAATCTCTCTCTCTCTTTTTCTTTTTTTAATAAGTTTTTATAGTTAAAATAGTTCATCATTAATACACATATACCAGCATACAAACATACATTTCATACAATCCTTAAAAGTGTTCAAACATACTTAGACTCAATCCCACAAATAATTCCTTTCCCCATCACCATCCACCACCCCTCACCCCACCTTTGTGTTTGACTTCCAATCTACTCAATTACAATTTCTTTCCACTTCTATTACTTTCTTTCACACACCTTTAGCCTAATTTCATACTTCTTTTTCTATTACACATTGTTATCCATCTTATTTGATATTTCAGTATTTGAAACGGAACTTGTTTATTCTAATAGGAGTTCTGATTTTTCGATATGATTTTGCAAGTATCTTTTAAACACCTTCCAGTCCCTATCTATCTTTTCTTTTGAAATCCTTCCAATTTCTTCCATTGTTTTGGATATATTGTAATACTCCAATAATTTGGCAAGCCACTCTGTTTTTGTCGGTATTATACCACTTTTCCAGTTTTTCGCAATCAATAGCCTTGCTGCTACTGTTGCGTATAAATATAAGGTCTTATCTTCTTCCTTTAGGCTTCCTGGTACTATTCCCAATAGAAAACCTTCTGGTGTTTTCCTAAATGAGTATCTAAACATTTTTTTCATTTCATTATATATTATTTCCCAAAATTGTTTGATGTTTAAACAATTCCACCATATATGTATCATAGTACCTTTTCCCGTGTTGCATCGCCAGCAGACATCGCTACAATTTTTATTCATTTTTGCTATTCTTTCAGGTGTTAAATACCATCTATGTTGCATTTTAAGGTAATTTTCTTTCAGTATATAACACATAGTGAATTTCATATCTTCTTTCCACAATTTTCCCCATTGTTCAAACATAATATTTTTCCCAATATCTTGCGCCCATTTAATCATTGATGCTTTAACCAATTCATCCTTTGTTTCCCACTCTAAAATCAGATTATACAATTTAGATATATTTTTTGATTTTTCTTGTATTAAGTATTTATCAAATTTTGATATTTCTTTTTCAAATCCTAAATTTTTGTCTTTCGCTAATCTATACTTAATTTGAATATATTGGAACCAATCACTAATATGAGCTTTAATTTCTGTGTAATCCTTTAATTCCAATTCTCCGTTTTCTTCCTTTAATACAGTTTTATAGGTAGCCCAATTTTCTTTCATATTTAATTTTTCACTGCGACAATTTCTGCTGGCGATGCCCACCAGGGAGTTTTCGGTTCTAGGAGTCTTTTATATTTCTCCCATATTTTATATATAGATTTTCTGATTATATGCCCTAGGAAGCCTTTATGTACTCTCACTTTTTCATCTATTAGATAGGCATGCCATCCAAATCTCGTCTCTACTCCCTCTAAATCCAATACATCCGAATCATCTAATTTGATCCATTCCTTTAGCCAGGTCAGACCCACCGCATCGTGATATAACTCCATATCTGGGAGACCAAATCCTCCTCTCTCCTTCTTATCTATCATTATTTTGTGTTTTATTCTTGGCTTTTCCCCTGACCATACAAATTTAGCCAAATCTCTTTTCCAGTTATTAAAACATTTATCTCCTCCTAGTATTGGGATACTTTGAAATAAAAACATCATCCTTGCTAATATGTTCATCTTTATTACCGATATTTTCCCTAGTAAGGAAAGATTTAATTTCCCCCATACTTGCAAGTCATTTTTATTTCATTCCATGTTTTCCCATAGTTCTCATTACTTAAATCTATAGTGTTTGTTGTTAAATTTATTCCAAGATACCTTATTTTCTTTTTAATTTCCAATCCTGTAATTTCTTGTAATTTCACTTTATCTTTTTCTTCCATATTTTTCACTAGTATTTTGGTTTTCCCATAGTTTAATTTGAATCCTGCTAATCTGCCATATTCGTTTATGCATTCCAATATTCTAGGTGTACATTGTAGGGGATTTTCTGTTGTGATCATAACATCATCTGCAAAGGCTCTTAACTTGTATCTTTTTTCACCAACTGCTATTCCTCTTATTTGGTTGTCCTGCCTTATTTTCTTTAATAGAACCTCTAATACTATTATAGATAACATTGGGGATAGGGGGCATCCTTGTCTTGTACCTTTAAAGATGTTGATTTCTTCTCCAATCTCTCCATTAATAATAATTTTTGCTTTCTGTTGGTTATATATTGCATTTATACCTTTTTGGAATTTTTCACCTAGACACAATTCTTTTAATAGTTTTTTCATAAATTCCCATGAGATTTTGTCAAAAGCCTTCTCCGCATCGATTGAAATCAGGGCTGCTTGTTTGTCTCTTCTTACTTATAGATATTCCATTATGTCTATTATATTTCTGATATTATCCTTTATTTGTCTACCTTCCACAAATCCAGCCTGATTTTTATGTACTATTTTTCCTATAATTTTTTTCAACCTGTTAGCCAATAATCCTGCATAAATTTTATAATCGGAATTTAACAATGAAATGGGTCTATAATTTGAGACAGATTCCAAATCCGTACCTTATTTTGGCAGGAGCGTTATATACCCTTGAGTCCAAGAGTCTGGAATATTCCCCTTCTCTACTGCTTCCTCTATTACTTCTTTTAGTGGGTCGATTAATTCATTTAACATTTCTTTGTAGTATTCTGCTGGTATGCCATCTGGACCTGGGGATTTCCTATTTTTAATTTTTGAATTGATTCCTTAATTTCTACGGTTGATATTGGTTCATTTAATAATTTATGGTCTTCTTCTGCTATCTCTATTAATTTATTTTTCTTTATATATTCCTCTATTTCTTCTATTGGCACTTCATCTTTTTGATATAATTTTTTGTAATATTTTTCAAATTCTTTTTAAATTTCTGTCATATCCCTTATTGTCCTCTCCTCTCCTCTACTTTTATTTTATTTATTAATTTTTCATTTCTTTGTTTCTTTAGTTGCCAGGCAAGGATCTTGCCTGGCTTATTTGCCCATTCAAAATTTTTATATTTCCAAAATTTGATTTGTTGTTCTACCTCCTGTTCTATAATTTTATTATATTCTACTCTCAGTAATTTAATTTCTTGATTTAATCTCTCTTTATTTTTGCTTGCATAGGCCAATTTTTCCTTCCTTTTAATTTCTTCTAAAAGCTCCCTTTTCTTTTTTTCTTTATTCTTATATGCTATTGAGTTTTGTTGTATGAAATATCTCCTAACAACCGCTTTCCCAGCATCCCACACTGTTTTAACATCTGTCCCTTTCCTCCAATTGTTTTCAAAATATTCCTTCATCAACTTTCTGGCTCCTTGTATTACTTTTTCGTTTTTTAATAAGAAAACATTCATTCTCCACCTTTTTTCCCTTTCTCCTCTTTTCCTTTAAGAGTTAATGATACTGGATTGTGATCTGTAAGTGTTTTTGGCAATATTTCGGCATTCTCTGCTTCAATTGTCATATCCTTAGTAATCCATATACTGTTGATTCGACTATATGAATTTTTTGGTTCTGAGAAATATGTGAACTCCTTTTAAACAGGATGTTTATATCTCCATATATCCACTAAATCAAAAATCTTTACCATTTCCATAAAGCTTTTTGGCAACTTCCCTTCATTTCCCCCCCTCTTCTTCTGCAATCTATCCAATTCTGGTTCCATTACTCCATTTAAATCCCCTAACACAATAATTCTCATATCTATATATTCCATTAATAATGATCTTACTTTAACATAGAATTCTGATTTTCTTTTATTTGATCCATAGATTCCCGCTACTACAATTGGTTCCCCCTCTAGTGATATTTTGACTATTACAATCCTCCCCTCTTTGTCTTCATATAACAATTCTGGTTCATATTTGCTTTTAACATACATTACAACCCCCCTCTTTTTCTTACATCAGATGCGATGAATTCTTCCCCTAACTTTGGTTTTACCAATAGTCTTTTATGCTTAGTATTGATGTGGGTTTCTTGTAAACAAGCAAGGTCCCACTTCTGCCTCTCTAAGATACGTTCTATTTTCTGCCTCTTCCTCCTATTATTTAAACCATTTACGTTCCATGATAACAATTTAAATTTCATTCTTTATTAGTTAAAAAATTATAAAGTTAATGGAAAGAGTTTAAGTTATCTGCAGTGGTAAAGGAGAAGGGTTTTGTAATAGTTATTGGTCTGATTATTTACCACTGGCGTAGTTCTTTATCCTTCCACCCTTTGCTGAGCTTTTTCTTCTTCTTCCGCCTCATCCGATAGCTCTCCCTTTCTTCCTTCCTCATTTCTTGCTTCACTTTTCCTGCCTCCTAATTCTCCTCGATACTTCCTCCAAAACATATCTGCTTCCTCAAATGTCTCAAATCGTCTTCTTTTTCCTTTGAAGTTGAAGGAAATCCCCACTGGGTATTCCCATCTGAAAGACATTGATTTGGCCTTTAGTGCTTTTGTTAGAAATTGGAATTGCTGTCTCTTTTTTATCAGCCTAGGTGGGACTTCTCGTGAAATTATTATTTCCTTTCCATCTATGGTTAATTTGTTCTTACTCTTTACTTGGAGGATCTTATCTTTCATCCAATTCGATGTGAATACAATGATGCAGTCTGCCGGCCATTTGTTCATTTTTGCTTTTCTTGAGTTCACTCTGAAGATTTTCTCTGTCTGTTCTATTATGTCTTTTTCCTGTAAATGTAGCCACTTTGCTAAAGTTCCAATCATCTTCTTCCAAATATCCTCCTTCTCCTCTTCTGGAACATTTCTGAATCTCAAGGTCTTCTCTTTAATCTGCATCTGTATCATTGCTAGCGCATCCCCAGTAGCTTCCTGGATTGCTTTTTGTTCCTCCATCTCCTTTTTCAATTTGTCCATTTCTTTTCTTTGTTCCCTTTGTTCTTTGCTAATTTTCTTCACCATCTCATCCATTTGTTGATTCTTATTCTTAATTTCTTGCACTTTCTTATCTGTCTCCTTCATTCCTTCTAGAACTTCTGTTAATTTTTCCTTTATTTCTTCATTTTCTTTTTCTTTTTTTTCATTGTGTTTTCTAATTTTTCCAATTTCCCATCAATTATGTTGATTTTTTCTTCCAACTCTTTTCTCAATCCTCCCAAGTCCAGTTTCAAACTAATAATAAGCTCCCTCAAGTCCATTTCTTCAAGGCCTGAGTTTCTGCTTAATTGTTGCTGTTGACTTCCAGTTCCAGTCTGTTTTTTAATTGCATGAGACATTTTGCATTCTCTTTTTCAACCACCAGATGTCCTTCTATTGTTCCAATTTTCCTTTGTTACTGCTTTTCCTACTTTGTCCACTGGGTGTCTGTGTTCTTATTAACTCAGCTTGCCAGCTTCTGCCCTCCTTTAATCCTCTCTTTCACTATTTTGTCTTCGTCACTTCCTCCTTTTTGATGATTACTCAGCGTCTTCAGACCTGTGACACCGTCTTATCTTATCTGTGAAATTCCCCTCCTTTCCCCCACAGCGTTCCTTATTCCTTTGTCCTTATCTTTCCTTCAAGGACATTCAGTTTCAAAGCAGCTGCTTTACTCCACCCAGCTCCAACAACAGGCAGCCTGCACCACTTTGCACTTTGTAGTAAGTCCGTTTCAGATAGTGTGCTTTTCAAATAGTTTAATTGCAATCTGAGTGATTTCTTTACATTCTTTCCATATTTTTTTCTGTTCTTCTGTATTAATCTCATGAAGGGAACCCCATGCGATAACCAAAGAGTGAGATTGCACTGCTTGGACATCCATGTGAACAGTTGTTTAAGTGTAATCTACGGCAGGGCAGATATCCAGACCCAACATTTATACACCTGGGAGGCAGAGACAGTGGGGAACCTGACACTGGGATGCAACACAGCCCCACTCCCCAGCAAATCATGGATAAATCAGGCAAGACTTTTGTAGGCACATTGGAGACTCTCATTAGAGAGAACAGTGGTGTTCGAACTGTTTCTGCTTCTACATAGCAGGGTTGCTCAATAATGACTTTTATACCTAAACATTTTTATTAGAATGGCACACAGGTTTTAAAAATTCATTTCCTAGTCAACGTTTGATTGCATCTTATCAGTTAATGACATTAAACTGTAGCATGTAAAAGGATGGAGGGTATAAAAATGTCAACACTGCATGAGAGACTAAGCAAGCTTAAAGCAGAGTAAGGAGACTTTAGCTTTCATGTCAAAGAAACAACACAATTCAATTATTTTCTTTGCAGCAGAACACAAATCCAGCGAAATCCCAGGGGAGAAGATGATTCATCGGGTTTACAGGCTAATGGAATCGCTGGATAAAGTATCTGCAAGGGCAGATTTGTGAAGAGCCATCACTTTGTTTTTGTCAAATATATAGTTTAGAGCTCTTGGAAAAAAATTTGGAAAACAAATTACAAGCTATATTATGAGAGTTACATTCAACATTTACTTTTGATGTAAAGAACTACTTCACAGTGATATCAATTGATCCCAGTACTGTCATCCATGACTGGCAGTGGCTTTCAGGGATCTTTAGCTGATCCCTGCCCCCTCCTGCCCTTCTACTAGCGGGCTTTGATTCCTTAACTGGAGAGTCTAAGGTTTTAAATGTGAAATCTCACACATGACCTCATACATACTTACCACATCAGTCAGGTTTATCTTGGTCAATCCTTCCCCATCCTTCATTTTGAGTCTTTTCTCACCCCCCCCACATGAGCTCATTGTGAGTCGTCTTTCGAACACTGCCTAGTTAATTGTGGTCACCTTATGAATAATTATAATGCTGTCTGTAAATTTTAAGCAACTTAGAAGTGTGTGGGATGAACCTATGGAAATAGGTAAAGGACCCCTGGACAGTTAAGTCCAGTCAAAGGCGACTCTGGGGTTGCAGCGCTCATCTCAACTTCAGGCCGAGGGAGCCGGCGTTTGTCCACAGACAGCTTTCCGGGTCATGCGGCCAACAGGACTAAACTGCTTCTGGTGCAATGGAACACCATGACAGAAGCCAGAGTGCACGGAAACGCCGTTTACCTTCCCCCCACAGCGGTACCTATTTATCTACTTCCACTGGTGTGCTTTCGAACTGCTAAGCTGGCAGAACAATGGGAGTTCATCACCATTATGAGGATTCGAACCATGGAAATACAGCCAATTAAAGGGAGGCATTTGGGTGCTACTGTGCCAGATGTAAGGTGGGGACTTATGTGTCTCCAGAGAGAGAGACAGAGAGAGGGGGAGAGGGAGAGGGAGAGAGAGCGAGAGAGAGAGAGAGAGAGAGAGCAAAGATTTGCACAGGCTAGCTTCTGTAAATAGATGCAATTTTAGAAATTATTGCTATAATTTTTATAGAAACATAGTACATATCAATGTAGAAGAAGAGACTGAGCAGGTGACCATTGGGCCCACTTAGTCTGCTGTAAGATACTATCGAAGGCTGATTTTGAGGGCCCTGCTCTCCCTTCTTATGATTTTTTTATCTTTAAACTGGACTTGGACCAGACAGTTCATCAAATACAGGACAGCCCTTAAAATACCAACCTCTGTAAAGTAGGACCCATGGTCTACCTAGATGACCAGGAGTGTGAGAATTTGCCATTTGAGTATGTCAGCAGATACAGTGGTTTTTATAGAGCTTTCACAATACAATGTACAATTTACATAGATGTGTAAGCTCAAAAGGTAAGATGTTCCAGCATCTCATATTAACTATGAACAATGTTTTGGTCATGAGCTACTTTTCAGCTGCATTGATTCTTGCACTCTGGCTTATTCTTGGATTTTCTCTTCTTTGCAGGTTGTTCCAGGAGCTACTGATAACCACAGAGAATGCCATTCCTCCTGGGAACAGTAATAATTGAAACGATAACATACACAACCTACAACTACAAATGGATTCTTGAAAAGCAGAAGTTACTTCCTGTAAAAGTGCACATGTTGAGATTAAGCCTTTGAAAAAACTGACCTCAATTGGGGGGAAAAATACAATTGAAGAAAGTTTGTTGCTGAATGAAAATAATATAGTGGCTTCGGGGCACAGTGAATTTTTCTCAGCTGAAGCTTTAAAAAAAAGTGTGATTTGAATTCCAGCGTGGGTTGGATCTCATCCCAACAGTTGCTTTATTCTGGAATTAGTTCATATGATTGCAACATACATTAATGAATATTTATGTGTGTATAAATTGACAGAAAAAAGACAGCTGTGCCATGCAGTAGCTCCTGTCATAAGTCATTATCTGTATTTCAGTTCATCAGTGGTTTAGTGAGCTCTCCCCAACAAGCTCTTACTTAAATGGTTGCCAGAATACTGAATAGATTTTAATGCCAAGGGTTCACTTCATAGGGCAGGAGCATTTTCTAGCATTTCTTCAGTGAGAATTCCAGATGGACCTTTCAAATTCCTTGTTGCCAGTGTTGTTGGCAGTGCATGACAGATTCAGCAGGGGCTAACTAGTTTGTCTCAAGATTTGAATTAACGTCTTGTTCTACACCTGCTGTCATATTATCAACATTACGATTTGGAAAGGCAACCTCCCACTGATGCCCTAACACTGTCACGATGTTAACTTTGTTGGTTCGGAAGTATTTAACATACCATTGCATTTATGTGCATGTGTGGATTTTAAAATATTTTTTATTTAGCACTTTGCTATTTAATTGGCTGCAGTTTTGCCAGTCTGAAAAGTCTGCAGGGTAGACAAACACTGCTGCGATAACTGCTGCTAAGCTTATTAATTAGAAAAAAAGAATTACTGGGGGGGGGGGGGAACTAAGTTGTTTTTTTAAGGAATAGCCACAGAATAAAGACAACTGTCAGTTTTGAATGCATGGCAGTGAATTGGGTGGCCTTCAACTAGACCAGTATCTGTTGCCTGCCATGCTTGATAACTCTCCAGTAGAATTTAATTATTTCCCCAATTTTCCCTGCATCAAATAATTTCCATGCCTTTCCCCTTTTGCTTTTTGTTCTTGTTTGTCTGAGTGTGTGCTTGCTGCTGCTAACCTAGCTGCTGATTGGGATCTCTTCGGCCTGACAAATTTGAAAAAAACACTTCCTCCCTTCACTTCCAAAGCCTAACTACTCAGGTAGTCTCTCCAATAGCCTTAGACTGCAATCATGTACACTTTTACATGGGAGTAAATCCAATTGAGCAGAATGGGACTTACTTACAAGCAGGGCTGATGACAGACTTCAGGGGCTCCTCAGAACAGTTTTGCCAGTGGATTTGCCTCCTCATCCTCTGTGCAGCTGGTTGTGGGCGGGTGATGGTGCTGCTTTTGAATGGGAGCCATGCTTGGCTCCCACCTGTGGTGGCAGCCTGCCATCTTAATTAACCCAAATGCAATGCCCCAGCCTATAAATCTATGAAAACTACTCACCATCTGACCACCACTGAAATGTCCACCCACGAGCCCAGAAGAGAGTGGCAGAACAGTCACGTCAGCCAGTGAGGGCACTTCTGAGTCCCTGGAGCCAGTGCTGATTGAAAGTTGCATCCAAGTAAACTTGCATTGGATTGATCGAGTGTCAAATGGGATCAAATAATTAAATATCATCCAACAACCATGAGACTTAGAGTTTAACTTCAGGAAGTAAATGAACCAGCTCCGTTTTCTTAAACTTAGCAACATCCTGAGGTTGCAGTCCTATGCACATTTACATGGGAACAATTTCCATTGAAACGAAGGACACTGAAAACAACATGCATAGAGGGGTCTGATAGTACAGCTGCCATGCTGAACAGAAGCTGCTTAAATCCAGTTTTAAGTCAACAGAAGTTAAGCAAATGGAAATAATAAAACGTCAAATGTTAAACCCCACTTCCCATACAGGGCTGCCTTCAGATGTCTTCTAAAAGTTGTGTAGTTCTTTATCTGCTTGACATCTGATGGGAGGGCATTCTACAGGGAGGGTGCTACTGCTGAGAAGGCCCTCTGCCTGGTTCCCTGTAACTTCACTTCTCATAGTGAGGGAACTGCCAGAAGACCCTTGGAGG